GATCAGCACGGTGCGCCGGCTGCAGCGGCGGCCATTGGAGGGTGAACCAACGGCAAAGGAAGACCTTTCTCTCTCTGTCTCTCTCTCTCACTGTCCACTCTGCCTGTCAAAAATAAAATTAAAAAAAAAATGCAATGATAGAGAATCTTTACAGAAAATGTTAGGCCTGGGTTTCTCTGGCTTTCAATAATATGATTGTCTATGGCATGTTTTTTAATTTTTTTAACCTCATACAACTTCCAATTGATTCTGAATTTGACTCCTTTGTTTTTCTTGGCATCTGGGAGGACATTTAGAAATAGTTTTCCCCCTGTGAAAAATTGTTTCAGCAAGATTAAGTTTTCTCTGTGCTCACACACATGCACGTGCGTGCACACACACACACATGTACTTATGTAAACACTTGCCAATCTAACTGAAACAAAAAACTCAGTGTATCAGTTGGTAATAGTTCATCTGTTGCTGCTGATGAGGATCTTGGGAACAGTGGTGCTAACCCTCACATGATACCGATATATCTATAGGCAAATGAGAGCAATGATTGTGTGGTCCTTAAGCTGTTTGCTCATTTGGGGGCCTTAATGTAACTCAGCCTATTTGTGTGGAGTAGGCTGGTCATATTTCATGTGCATATGGGTTCTTTTATTATCAACAGCGTATTGACAGTGAAGGTGGGGCTGATTGTCTTGATCACATCTATGTCTACTGTATCAGCATTCCCCTATCAGAAACAGAAGGCAAATGTAGCTACACAGTATAAGAGGAAAATGTTCTAACCCTCTCTGAAATCTGATAAAATTCAGTCTTTCAGATAGTACCAGGTGTACCAACACATTTGATAAATATTGTCATATAATTTGAATTTTGACTGGTGAGCAAGACTAACAAGAAAGGATATTTTGTAGTTGGTGTCCTGGGCTAAATTTGTTAACAGATTTTCATGCACATGACATTTTGCTTAATGTGCCCTTTATTGTATTATTCTAGATTTCTCTATGCAAAAAATATCCAATTTCCTTGTAACAGTGGTGTTCTATACCAGAAAGAATTATTACCTAACCTCTAACTTACCATAACTTTATCACGTCCAGTAAAATCATTGAGTTTGTAAAGATAATGGAAATATTATGCCACACTTAGATAATGTGACTTATTTTTACCATCCATGCCTACTTTTGTTATAGCTGTTTAGATTATGAAATTATTTAAGAATACCTGAAAGTACAGAGGATAATATAAAGAACACTCATGTATTCATTGTTTTGTTAAATCTTAGCATTTTGCTATATTTACTTTAAGCCTGTATTATTAAAGAAACTGAGCAATTAAAATCTTTGGTGTAACTTTGCTCTTGCCTATGGAAGGAACTGTTTCCTAAATTTGGTGTTTGTAGTTCCCTTAAATGCTTGTGTACTCCTTAAATGATATATAGTAGTATTTCTGCCTTTCAATTTGTGAGTTTTTTTATGAATGATGTCACTTTGAAATTATTCCTCCCCAACTTGCTATTATCACTCAATTTTATGCTTTTAACAACTCTCCATGTTGATATATGGGGTTATATTTCATTCATTTAAAATATTTATAGTATCTCATTGTATGATGTGAGAGGTTAGACAACTGAACAGTTAGAAGATGTAGTTCCTACATGACCACCCACATTTTTTACAGCAATTCTAAGTTTAGGAGTTCTGCAAAACCAGACTCAGGCTTGATAATTTGCTAGAAGGACTCGTTGAAAGCTAATAAACTCACAGTTGTGACTTACTGCAGGTAACGGATATAGACTGGAATCAGTCAAGGGAAGAAGTGCTTAGGATGGCACACTGGGAGTTCCAAATGTGGAGTTTCCAGTTTTTCCTCTCAGCATGGAGTAAGAACAGTGTTACTCTCCAAACGCTGATGTGTGATGATATGCACAAGTATAGTCTCCCGAAAAAGCCCACCTGAGCCTCAGTGTTTAGAGATTTTATTGGAGCTCCATCACATAGCCATCACTAATTATCCCTGGAGCTGATCTCAGGATCCAACACCTTTGGAGATTAATATATATATCACATGACCCAGCCTACCCTTTGCCACATGGTTGGTCTTTCTGACATGATTGGCCCCTGCCCTAAGACTATTTGATGTAGCTGGCCCTCACTTTATCAGGGATGGGGAAAATTTTTCTGCTGAGGTCCATTTGGATACTTACAATATCATCCATGGGCTATACGAAATTGTCGACATAAAAATTATCCTATTGGTTTATGGAATTTAGAGTCCCACCTGCAGTTGCCTTGGCAGAACACAACAAAATGATTTTGCAGGCCTCATGTGGCCCAAAGCTTGATGTCCCTCACTGCTACCTTAAATCAGAATATTAGACTCTAATGACCCATTGTCCTTGGGTAAACAAAGATACTCCTTTCAGGTATGACATACCAAGGCCTTAGAAATCACCTCCTAGAAAATAAGCACACAGGCTGTACATTTTAAGGGAACAAGGTAAAATTCTTGATTATACAATTAAATATACCACATACTCTTTTATACATTCTCCCACTGATCTACATTTGAATTGTGTATAATATATAAAAAACAGTACCTCTTTTGTTAATGAATGAACACTTACATAATACTGTGTGCCAAGTACTTAGTACTTCACAAGTATTAATTTGACCCCTCAACCCTATATGAATAAATGCTATTATTCTGCAAATGAGGAAAATGAGATACAGAAAGGTGAAATATCTAGCTCAAGATCATATAACTATGAAGTGACATAGTTGGCATATGAACTCAGGCAAGCAAAATCCTTCCTCTTAACTATTATGCTATGCTGTCTTGAAACAATGCAACCAGAGTTATTTTATATACATTATCTTCTACACAAGTATGAAATTAATATCTGCAGCAGTAGGTATTGCTGCACTATAGATGTATACACCTTCAGCTTTACTAGGTGGTACCATATCGTTAGCCAAACTGACATCTTTAAACAATTAATAATGTATCCACAGTTTCTTGTCATTTCACTTCTTTTGGTTGTCCAAATGTTTATAATTTTAAAATCCATTTCTCGGTCTTCATGATTTTTTATCTTATTGAAGAAATCTCTTTCTGCAAGCTCAAATATATTTTTCTGTATTCTGCAAGTATTGCTTAATATATTTATCTTTCATCTACTTGGATTTTATATTGAATATTGTGTAAAGCAAAGATACAATTAATTTCCCCCTACGCCCAATGTATTGTCCCAAACCATTGTTTCAATGATCCACTCCTTCCCCATTGGTTTGTAATACCACATTTGTTATAGTAATTTCTGTGTATGCATTGGCCTTTCTGTGAGTTTCTCATTGCTGGTGGAACAGATTCAGTAGCTGAAAACAACACCAATTGATTATCTTACAGTCCTGGAGGTTAGAAGTCTAAAAGGGTTGGTAGGGCTGCATTCCCTCTCGGAGCTCCAGTAGGGAATCTATCCTTTGCCTTTTCCCACGTCTATAGGCCACATCCATTCTTTGGCATGTGTCCCCCTTCCAGCAATGGCATCACTTTGACCTCTGGTTCCTTTTCAAATTTTCTTCTCTATCTCTGACCTTCCTGCCTGTCTTGTGAACCTTGTGATTACCTTACATCACCCATCTTGAAATCCTGAATTTAATCACATCTGTAAAGTCCTTGCCATGTAAGTTAAAGTTATGTCCCACCAGAAGGCTTTAGTAATTGCATCCACCAAGTCTCCAGGGCTACTGCTGACCCTGAGCCACTTTTTAAGATATTTTACTGGTTAAGTATTTTTTGGGTCATTGAGTGGAAAAATTTCACGCCTCTAGTCTGTATGAGGGTAGACTACTAGTTATAATTAAAGAGGTGTAGTCTTCCTCCACTTAAGGCTTAAGATAATATTTTTGTTTTTTCCTCTTAGTAAATTGATTTCACTTCTAGGCCACTCCTTAAATAAGGTATAGTCCTTTTAAGATTGAGATGTTATGAAAGAATATATATTTTTCTATTCCCTGCCTCTCTTATGTCCTCACTTCTCCCCCACATGAGCATTAAGACCCAAGCACTTAAATGACTGAGACAGGCAAGTTCCTAGGAATTTCTGTATTAACTCATGTACTTATTATTCTAGTTTTAAATTCCCAATTTAGCTTTGGCTTCTGGAGAGTTTCTTACTTTTGTGATAGGTAAAATAAGCAGCCAGTGTTGCAACATAGTGGATTAAGCTGCTCCCTGCAACATCAGCATTCCATATGAATGCTAGTTCAAGTCCTGGCTACTCTACTTCAACAGCTCCCTGCTAATGAGCCTGAGAAAGTAGAGGAGGATGACTCAAATCCTTAGGCCCCTGCACCAGTGTGGGAGACTTGAATGCAGTTCCAAGCTCTTGGATTTGGCCTGACCCAGCCCCGATTATCGCAGCCATTTGGGGGCAAAACCATCAGATGGAATATTTCTCTCTCCCCCTTCCCCACCTCCCCATAACTCTGCCTTTCAAATAAATAAAATCTTTAAAAATGAAATAAAATATCCAAGAGTCTCCCAAAGCTTTCCCTGCTTGATTCTTAATATTTGTCTGTGGTGATTCTTTTGGGTGTCTCATATAATACCTCTTGAAGCTGGTTGTGGTCTGTGTACCTTAGGTAGGCAGGATCTGATTTGGGGGAGATACCTCATCTTTGCTTGTGTATACTTTTGGCTTGATTATAATTGTAACCATTGACATTGTATTATTTACAGTAGCTTCTATTCTGCATCAAAATATTACTAATCCTATCTCTCAGAAATTCTTAGGCCTAGAGCTGGCTTTTGTGGACATTTGGATGGAAGATTTCAATTCATTCTCTCTTTCTCGCTCTCTGCCTTACAAATAAATAAAAATATTTAAAGTATTATCAAAAGGCTTTTTCTGTAATACAAATTAATAAATCTAAAATACATAAAGTATTGTTACCTTAATTTTCAAACCAATTAATTTAATCCCCATTCTCTTTTTCTCTTCCCAGGATGTGTGCTGTATTTGGTGGAATCTATTGTCTTCGTCATTCAGTGCAGTGCCTTGTAGTGGACAAAGAATCCAGAAAGTAAGGATGATATAAGTAACCTTCCTATATTTATACTCCAAACACTGGTGAAAAATGCTAAAGTCGATTTAAAAAAAATGATTCTTCAAAGATCCTCCTTGGTATTAATAACATATCAACCTTGATTAAAAGTAATTTGTGTTTAGGTCCTCCAGAACAAGGAAAGTGAGTTCAGAATATAGAAACCAAATTAATTTCCCTGCAATATGACTATAGCTCCTGATCATCCAAGCTTGGAAGACAAATCATTTCAGCTGCCGGGGGTGGGTGATGAGTGATGTTAGTTTTCCTTGTGGCCTTACCTCCTCTAATTGATTTTCATCGGATGACAACAAAGCCCTCTGTTATTGCATTTTTAAAAATGGAACTCACCTAAAGACTCATCAGATTAATCTCTGCTGATAATGCATGTCACTCCAAGAGAAAAGACTTTAATGAGTTTTTAGGTAGATTGTTGTCATAAACTATGCTGTCCTGTTATCTGAGGATAAATTCTTTTACAACAGTATCAGACCTACAGCGTGGTTTAGTATTGAAATAAAAATTTACCCGTTTTTGAAAAAGCTGACCACCATCTGTATATGTTTCATATTTTAATTATATTTTTAGTTGTTCGCCACTAAAATATGCACTGGATTGAATTATATTAAGTGAAATATTTTCTATAATTCTAGATTTTACATTGACATTTCAGTGGGGGAAAACTGGATCAAGTTTTCAGTTCTGTATAAATTACTATGTGTTTTCTGTTTTGTTACATGTTCTCAAGCATGTATTGACCTTTGTTTCTGAGATGATTACTTTTAGGATTGTATAAAGAAACAGTATTGTTGAGACCATAAAATATCTTAAACCAGGGGCTTAAGCAAGATAAATTTGTAGCTGTTTTTTTCATTTTACAATAATTTTGTTCTGATGTTGTCTAACTGGCACAGTTAATGTCTATTAACTTCTTATAGACCAGTTATAGTGTAAAAACTAGTATCATTGAGGTACAGAGAACAAAAAGCTCTAGAAATACGTAATATTTAAACAGTGCATTTTCTTTAGAAAAGAAATTCTGTAGTATAAGATAAAATGGACACATGGTTTAAAAGGCTTATAAAGCATCTTTAGCACTTTAACAGAAAGATACGGCACAAATGTAATGTAATCATTTGTGGTGAAAAAATCTATCATTAAATGCCCAGGATATTCATTCATATATTGCTCATGAAGAGCTCTATCAAAGTTCCTGAAGGAATCATTGCCTTTATGGCTCCTAGAGTCCTTTTTTTCCTATGCATTCCCTTTTAAGGAAGAGTATGCTTCCATGATGGATAGCCAGATAATGAATTTCTTGTTTCGTGCTTATTTGCTTATTATTCACCCACTCCCACATGTTACTCTCAATGACATGAAGAATTTGCATGGCTCATGTTTGTTTTTTAAAGTGGCTATGCTAGGACAGTAATAGAATTTGTTGAACTAAAAACTATGCACTATGCTTATTTTAGCTTTGACTTAGTTTATGAGATAGAACAGAGGAGCTCCTCTTTATGATCTGCAGCAGATTCAATTTGCAACAGATAGTTGAGGTCTAAAGGTCTGGAGACCTAAAGGATCTCTAGTCTGGTAATTTCCAAATTTAATGTGCCTAAGAATCAGCAAGTAAGCTGGCAAAAAATATAGATTTCTGTGCCTCACTCTCAGAGAGTGAAATTGAGTAATATGTTTTGGCTGAAGCCAGGGAATTTAGTTTTGTTTTTATTTAAGATTTATTTATTTGAAAGGCAGAGTGATACAGAGTGGGAGGGAGAAAGAGTGAGAGGGAGATCTTCCATATGCGTCTTTGTTACCCAGCTGGCCGCAGTGCCAGGGCTGGGCCAGGCCCATACTAGGAAGTCATAGCTCTTTCTGGGTCTCCCATATGGGTAGCAGGGTCCAAATACTGGGTGGTCTTCCACCACTGTTCCAGGCATATTAGCAGGGAGCTGGCTCATAAGTGGAGCAGCCAGCACTTGAACCCATGCTCTGATATGGGATGTCAGCATTGCAGGCAGCTGCTTAGCAAACTGTGCCACAGTGGTGGCACCAAGGGAATTTGCAGTTTCAAGAAACACAGTGAATGAATCTAATGTAGATGGTCCTTCAGTGACACTGAGAAGCACTGGCCTGTAAAATAAAGTTGAGAATTTAGCCAAGAATACTAGGTTCCATACTGGACTGGTGTATCTAAGGCTTTATCAAAATGAACCTGCCAGATATACCAGTCATCAAATATGAATCTTAAATAGCAAACAAACTGCTTCTACTTCACTATTTCTTTTACATTTTTAAAGACTTCGGGTATAGCATTTGTTTTATTACAACTCCTATGGCATGTATAAAGATTGAGTAGCCCTGAGAAGAAAAAAGACTTGGCATTCCATCACTGTTATGGATGCCATGGCAAATCCTTTCCTATGGCTCAATTTATTTATCTGTAAAATGAACTATACAGATGCCACAGTAATCTCTGAGTTGCCCTCCAAATCTGACATGCTTTTGTTGAGTTCTTTCAAGTTTTTAGAAAATACTTAACTTTTCCTTAACCTTTAGAAATAAATTATCTTAAAATATATGACCAAATGGAAGCTATTTTCACATCTCATGCAATCTCTGAGCCAGTGAGAATTAAAAAAAAAAACTTTTTAGCAACTTGTGATGTGTCTACTTTCATGAATATAAATGAAGTAGCACTATGTTATTTTTTGTTATTATATTACTAGGATTCCAGTTTTCCAGTGAGCACCATTTCCTTGTTTTGTAAGATAAAATTATTTTGAATTCTGTGTATGATTCACTTACTGTAGAACTTATTCTAAGCAATAGCCATATATTTCTGTAACAGTAGTTTTTAAAACTCGGTCTACATCCATAATATTCTCTTTACATTCTTTAAGTGATATTTTAGTTAAGAAACAAGCAATACTTGAACATCTTGCTATCTGTCTCCCTCTCTAATTCTGCTTTTCACATAAATGACATAAATCTTAAAAAAAAAAACCAGAATGTTATAAATCAATACTTCCAGTAATAATTGTAAAATTTATATTAATTTTGCTTCTTTCAAAAAAGTATATTCAGTCAAATAGACTCTCTAAATATCCAAGGCTAGCATTGGTTAAAGTTGGCTCAGGTTAATGTGCTTACTACTTCACCAAATAAGAAGTTTAACAAAAAGTATTTCATCATTCAAAATCAACTAATTGCAAAAGATACTAGTAATGGGAGACATTTTGTCAGGACTTCAATATAAAGTGAGGTATAGTTTTGTGAGGAAAAAAATTTTGATGTTATAATTGGGCATATCCCAGCATACATTTCTTTTTAAAGAGATTGGGTTGACAGACAATTGTGTATTCTAAATATAATGAGAATAGTAAGTAAGGAACTTGCAAAGATTTTCATTTGTATCCTTATACTTGTAGTTTGTTGTTCTTGCCCTATTTTTTTATAAGAACACTTGGCATCCCTTTTCCCCTTTAGTATAATTAAGACCTACCCATGCTTCAGGTAAGAGTTTTAAGTATATTTCTTTTTTTTATGATGTAAGAAAATTCCCATTTTAATTTGAATTAGTTTTAAACGGATTCAATGTGCTTTGTAGATACACTTCTATGAGCATAATAATATTCTTTCCTCCCTCCCTCCCTTCCCCTCCTTTTCTTCATCCCACCTTTCATCCTTCTCCCTTTCTTTCATTTTTAGTTTTTGAGATAACATATTTTAAATTTACATTACTATAAAAAGGCTTAATACTTACCCAAATAAGAAGTTTAACAAGAAGCAAAAAGACCCCAATTTATTGGGAATATAGCTATATGACTATAAACAACAATTGAATGCAAAAATGAGCAATTCACCCATAGAAAATTTAAAGTAATCATAGATCACTAAAACTATAATAGTATAACATTCTAAATCATTGATTTCACAAAGGTATAAAACAAAGTTTTACAAAACTTTATTTCTTGATCTTACAGACTGTATCGGGACACTGCCAGTACCCTAGTTTGATCCCATTGTATGATTAATTGATAAGTTCTCTGTAAGAAAAGGCAGAATTTCACTGTTCCATCTCCAGCACCAAGACAAATTCCTAGCACCTGTTATACCCAGTAACTTTTGAGTTGAATGAATGAATGAAGATTAAAGACTGATTACAGCCTTTTTGTACTTTTCTTTTCACCTTCCATTTAGGAAAGCTGATAAAAGCATAAATGATCATAGCACTGAGTTTAATGAGGTGATTACATATCAAAGTACTGTATGAACTTTGAGAAAAGAAACAAGGCATTGAGGAGGCAGATGAAATCATGGTATATGGAACATATAACCAAATGTATACCTACTTTCAGCTACATCTTATTTTTCATTTTTGTTTAATTTGCTTTTCCTGAGATCCACATCGCTTATTCTTTCCTCATTGTATTATCCAGTAATTCTGTTTACATAATTCAGATGGATGTAGATATGTATAGCAGTGTTTTTTTTTTTTCCCCATACCTTCTCTTTAAACTCTAATACTGCACTATTCTTTTGACTGTTTTTAGAAACACTGAATGCTCTTTCTGAATAGCTTTCTGTTCTTTGCAGCTGTGCTGACCAGGTAAAACTCCTGTTAGAGTTGTGTCATACTATACTTAGTAATATAGTATTTGACCTTAAGGTTGCATAGGGATAATCTGAGACCAGATGTCTCTCTAAACAATAGTACTAATTTAGTTATTTCATCTAGTGTTCCATGTGTACTTCAGCTGTCCCACTTAATAGATTTTCTGATGTCAGGAAAATTATTCCTTTCCCAGATACTTAGAAGTTAGTGATGAATATTAGATCAGGTGTGAGGTAGCTGACTCTTCATACCATTTGCCATTGCTGAAGTTCTGATTTTAGAAATCCCATTTGCAGAATAGCACTGATCGTATTCTAGATATTTAACCTATCACAACTCCCATACTTAGTTGTAATTAGGA